CTCTCACAGAGTACGTGAAAGTCACGGTCCTCAGCCCGGCCAAGTTGGACGGGGTATACGTCAGCACGCTGCCCATCCTGAACCTCCTGGACTGGTAGTCCGGGAAGCTGTCCAGCGTGTCCACGCCCTCCGGTATAGTCCAGCCCCACTGCTCCGTCAGCGCGTCGTCGTTCGGGTTGACGCGCTGGAACACGCTCTCGCCCGTCTCGCCGCCGCTGTCGACGATCGACAGCAGCTCCAGCTGGCTCGACGAGGATGCGTCGAACAGCGTGACGGTCGTGTTGGTCGCGTCCCGCAGCCGGTCGTTGGCCAGGATGTAGATATCGACCGGCTCGTTGCGGTAGGCAATGACCTTGTCGGCAAACGCGATCAATTGCGACGCGCCCGCGGGGAACGCTGGCGCTGTCTGCACGCGGTCGTAGGCTCCGAGGTTTGGGCCGCCGTCGAGAGTCGTCGTGGGGTCCAGGCTCGCGGCGGCGAGCTCGGCGTCGGCCGCGGCCTGCGCGGCCGCCTTGGCGGCACCCGTCAGCGGCGCTGGCTTGGTGCCCGCCGGGGCCGCCTCTTGCAGGGCGGCCGCGGCCGTCGTCGCTGTGCAGGGGGCGCCCTCCACGCGCCCGACAGCGCCGCCGCCACTGCCGCCGCCGGTCAACACCAGCTGCCCGTCCTTGTCAGCATCGAAAGTGAGCTGGAAGGCGGCCCCGCCCTCAACTGCCCCGGAAATCGTGACCTCGGACGGCACAGAAACGCGCACTCCTATCCGCCGCTTCCCGCGGGCGACAAGCGTACGCGGGCCGCGCAGCGTTCGAGTCGAGCCGTCCTGGCTGGTATAGCTGATTGTGATGTTTTTGAGGCGCGTGCTGCAGCCATTCTCTATCGTGGGGCGCACGCGCTGGGTCGAGAAATCAGCAGAGAGCAGCAGCTGACGGTCGCGGCCCCCGCCGCGGGTGCGCTGCAGGGCGGGTGAACCTGCGAGCGTGTACATGGACTGGTTCACTTCAAGGGGATGTCAAGGATGCGTCCACTCATGGCATGAGAACATGAAGAAAGGGGACCCGGACACCAGGAAGGTGAGGTGGTCTCTCTTCACCACCACATACCTGTCGTTCCAAACCCATCTACGTCTCCCGCACATACTGCTTGTAACCCCACTAAGAGAAGCGCCAGCGCCAGCAGCCTCATCACGGCCACCGGCGCGACCCAAATCAGTAGCCTATAACAGAGACAGGTCCATGAACAAAATCAGAAGGATTGTCTCTCAAATCGCTGTATCCGCTGATCGTTTGTGACGGCCCAGTTGGTCTGCTGGGCGGGCGGTGTCACTTGAACTTGGGGTGTGTCGTGCCCGCTTCCACCGTTCTTCCAAACGATTATTTCCATCAACAAGTTCTGACTGTGGTAGTTTGTGAGCCTTTTGCAGAGACACAACACCAGTGCAACGTCCGTCCACAGCTCAGAATCAGAATTCGCGTGACAAGTTTCGCGTCTTCCGGACGACCTGAGCCAGGACGTCCGCTCTTTGGCGGTGATGGCCTTGACATAGCGTGTAAAGGCTAAACCGCTGATGGCGTCGAGAACGTTGGCAGCGGCGGCGTGGGCGTGGGTCGCGCTGGTCGTGGTGGCTGCGCACTGCGCAGGGGCTCGCGCGGCAGCGGCTGGTGCGGTTCGCGCCGCAGGCGACGAGGACAATGCCAACTGGACAGCGGGCGGCCTGGAGGATCACGGCAGGCGCCTGCTGGCAACTTACATATCTCAGCCCAAAAAGGTGGGTCTGCACGGCAGGGGTACAGCGGAGGGCTGTCAATCTTGCTCTGTCACCTGCCCAACTACCGGCCGTGTGGCAGGCTATGGAAGCCGGGTTGACAGCAGCAATGCAACTGCCTTGATCGTGCACGCTGCAAGCATTGTCCTGGAGCGTGGCTGGCGGCAACACGCCGGCACCATTCGCGCACCATGCGGCGCCCCGCTGTGCATCAGCTACAAACAGCCGCGTGCTGTTTTGCGCCAGGTCGCACATTTGCACATGCACACATGCGCACTTGATCAATTGCGCGCAGGCCTAAATACTTGCACAAATGCGCACAAACACACGCACTTGCACGCGCGCACACACATGCACGCGCGTGCGCGCACACACCCGCGCACACACACACACACACACACACACACACACACACACACACACACACACACACACACACGCACGCACGCGCACGCGGGCGCGCAATTGTGCCTAAACACGATGCATCTAGGTCAAGTGCACCCCAGAGATCGTTGGCTGCAGCGCCTGCTGGAAGTTTGGCACCGAGAGCGCCACGCTGTGCGCCACCTGCAAGACTGGCTACAGCTATGATTTTGAAAACTTTATCTGCGGTGAGCGTCTGCGGGCACGGTGGGCGCTCGTCTGTGTCGCAGCAGCCCTGCGTGTTCGTGGTGGCCGACACAGCTAACGCAACTCTCCTGGTTCTCTGAAAGTTGCAATTGCAGTGCCAGCGCCGCATCCGGGGCAACAGCGGCGGCCGGCCGCGCCCCTGTTTGTGCCGTGCGCAGCTTCGGACGTGTTTGGTGGCACAGTATTCCCGGGTCCACGTGCGGGAAACGGACTTCGCGAGCCGCAGTGAAGCAGGCAGCTGCCGGCCACCCCCGTCTTTTATTTCACAGTTTGCCCCCTTTTCCTTGCGCCCTCGCCCCCCAACCTTGCTTATCCGCCCGTCCCCTCTTCAATCTAGGCTGTGCCATCAACTACGGCACCTTTTGCAAGGACGGCTCCAGCAAGAAGCTGGTCAGAAAGACGGTCGGCCTCCGCAAGCGGGCGGCCGTGAAGCGGCCTCCTGTGCTGCCCCGTGTCAAGATCAGCGCGGCGGCGCGGCAGGCGGCGGCTGACGCCAGCGGCTGCGTCTGTAAGAAGTGCAGCAGCAAGCAGACGTCGCCTGGAGGTGCGCCGCGGGGCTCTAGGGTGGTCGACAGACCTGGCGAGGGCAGGCCGCGGACAGGCGGGGTGCTGCGAAAGCAGGGCGCCCCACGCTGCAGCCAACGCCAGCCCTTGTTGTTCGTGCTTCAATGGGGCCCGCCCCTCGCGGCCCACTCCCATGTTCGACTTCCTTGCAGCGCCCGCCCACCCCTCCCCTC